AAAAAAGGGAAACTCCAGGGGCACCTGGGTGGCTCATTCTGCTCCACCTATGAGTCCATCCCCCCAAACCCTGGCAACCCACTGATACTTTACCGTCCCCAGAAAGTCATAGAGTTGGAATCACACAGTACATAGCCTTTTCAGATGGGTTTATTTCACTTAGAAATACGCGTTTAAGTTTCCTTCATGTCTTTTCATAGCTCGAGAGTTCATTTCTTTTTAACACTCAATAATATTCCATTATCTGATGTACCACTGTTTATTTATCTATTCATTTATTGAAAGATATCTTTTTTTTCCCACATTTTGGCAATTAAGAATAAAGCTGCTATAAATATTTGTGTGCAGACTCTCACGTGGACGTAAGTAATATATTTTTAAATAAAGGCAGTAAGGGGGGGCTTTCTAAGAATGACAGAAGCCATAAAGAAAACATTTGTTGAAATTTCCAGGCTTAGCTAAAATATACCATAACTAACTTAAGACAAACACCAGGGGGTGATATTTGCAAGACATCTGACAACATTTGGCAGTCCTATCTTACTTAGCACACTGTGATTTAAACCAGACGAGATTCCCAAACTCTTTGATTATTATATTTTGTTTTATTTTATTACCTGCATGCCTGTAGTAGAAGAGGAAAGTATCAGGGATCTCCTTTGGATTTGTCTAAGAACACTTGTATTTAGATCTGTTAGGAATTATTAGATTTCCATGTACATCTCATGAGTAGAGAAACACATTATTAAGAATGACAAACATAATTCTACAGACTTTTAGAGAAGAAACACAGGACAGAGTCCCAAGTTTCAAACACTGAATAGCTCACAGACTCCTTTGTAGGACCAATATTTGCTGCTTTTCTCTGTAGCTGTAGGAGAAAAGGAGCAATTTCCCCCCATCTCTATTGTTGACATTTCTTTCACCAGTGGTTGGAAGCACCTGTGTTTTGAAGGGCTGTTACTGCAATTCCATGAGTTAATGCTGAGAGAAAAGAGGAGACCGAATGGTTATAAACTCTGAGTGAAAAAAAGAAAGGGGCAGAGAAGGATTGTTAGCAGGTGTAACAGAGAGTGGGTGATATTTTGCTTTCTTGAATCATAAATAAAGGGGGCGCCTGGGTGGCTCAGTCAGCTAAGCATCTGCCTTTGGCTCAGGTCATGATCTCAGGGTCCTGGGATGGAGTCCGGGTCAGGCTCCCTGCTCAGCCGGGAGTCTGCTTCTTCCTCTCCCTCTGCCCCTCCTCCCCGCCTTCCTCCCTCGCCCCTGCTTGTACTCTCTCTCTCTCTCTCTCTCAAATAAATAAAATCGTTTTAAAAAATCACAATTAAAGGCTTTTCTTGAATCAACAAGAAAAATACATATAATTTAAAAGAAAAAAAGTCAACCATGTCTGTGAAGAGGCAGTTTAGAGGAAAAGGAAACTGTCCCCAGTAGATGGTTATCCCATCTTGGTCTACAGAGCAGCTGAGGAAATGCCTAAAGACAGAGTCAAGATTCTTTTTTGGGGGGCGCCTGGGTGGTTCAGTTGTTAAGCATCTGCCTTTGGCTCAGGTCATGATCTCAGCGTCCTGGGATCCAGCCCCACATCAAGTTCCACATTGAGCCCTGCAAGGGGCTCCCTGTTCGGTGGGAAGCCTGCTCCTCCCTCTCCCACTCCCCCTGCTTGTGTTCCTGCTCTCATTATCTCTCTCTCTGTCAAATAAATAAATAAAATCTTTAAAAAAAAAGATTCTTTTTTTCAATGATTAATTGTTATTTTCTTTAATGCACAGAAAGTAGGCTGATCAAGATCCAGTCTTCTCTCTATGGTGGGGACACAGGAGTATTAGCCTGGGTAGCTTATAGCACATAAAACTACATGTTCACCTCGACCATGAAAATCTTATAAGGCTTGCATGGATTTGACACTTTCAAGCAATGTCCCTTCCTTGTATATCAACTGCTTACAAAATATATGCTGAGACAGTTCAGTGAGTTGATTCAGGCATAAAAATAAAATAAAATTCATGAAAAAGTTTCAAGCTGATAAATGTCTATTAAAAATAATTATTTTTTGGAGGAGCTGATCTTTAGCCCTCTTTCCACCCCCCTGGCAAAAACTAGATATGAGAGGCATTTCTAGCTGGTGACGGAAAATGATGTCTTCTACGTATTGGACACATGCTTTTCTGTCCTCCACAGCAAGAGGGCAGACATCCACCTCATTCAGTGTAATAGGCATTACTATTTGAAAAGTGAAAATTACAGTATTAATATGGGAGAGTATTTTATAAGTCCAGCATGGTTTTCATTGCAAAATGTGAATTGTGTTATCTGCGTTACAATTGCCCTCCTCTCTCAACTAAGCAAAGAACCAAGAATTACCTGTATCTCACTTTTCTGCTTATAGCTGTTCTTCAAGAATCAGTCTGAACTCAAACATGTGAAGGAAGGAACATTGCCCCACTCACCCTGAGGATGTCTTCAGAGTGGTGTTTCAACCCCTTGGACGCAGGTGCTCCTCAGCAGAACCAGTACATTCAGGCAGAGGAGGGGCATTAACCAGGGCACTGAGAGGCACCCCCCTTCAGTGCCTGTCGCTTCGCCTAAATCACACTGTGGGTTGGGATGGATGTCTCCCCGGGGTTCTGTGGAAGTGCAAGTCCATCTGGGGAAGACACCTATTCAACCTTGTTTCCCCCTGAGGTCAGATCATGGGTAATCCAAGGGCAGGGTATATGCAGAGAAATAAGAAGGAGATCAGAACCAGAGACCATCTCAGCAAGACACCTGCCTCAAGCTCAGCCTTTGCTGCCATCTGGAATTACGTATAAGAAACTATCTTTATGCCAGAGAGGCTCATGGCAGGGATGGGGAGATGCATGTCCAGTTTGAAATCTTTATTTCTTCCAGAACCACCAGATTTGGGTCCAGAGAAAGGCAGAGGATGGCTTGGTTTGGGATGCCCCAGATGTTCATTGGCTTCTCTGGGTCTCCATTCTCCCGACTATCTCAGATAGAGAACTTGTTTTGCGCAAAACCATTGCAAAGATGTGGTAGGGAGAAAGAAATGGAGCTGTTAACAAAAGCAGAACAAAACAAAAATCCCTTCTTCTCTGGCATCTCCCAGGGCTTCTGGATCACCCCAAGGATGTCTTTTTGAGGAAACACACCTGTTGTTCCTGTCCCCAGGGACACGGTCTAACACCTCTCCTCCCTCCACAGAATTTGTGGCTAGTTTTTTCATCTCTCACTGCGTGTGTGTGTGTGTGTGTGTGTGTGCGCGTGTGTGTGAAGAGACCAGAAGCCAACGAGAGAGGCTGCATAGGAGAGGAGGGAAGATTGGTCAGAGATGGTCTGCAGAACTTGCAAGATATTCCAGGATCCACCAGGCAACAGGGCTTGTTCTCTCTCTCTCTCTTCCCCTGTCTCCCCCTCTCTCTCTGTGTCCCTCTCATCCCAGGCCTCCCAGTAACATCTGTGTCAGTCTGGACATTTGATCTTTCCTTCTTTTTTTTTTTAATTTTATTTAATTATGTTATGTTAGTCACCATACATTACATCATCAGTTTTTGATGTAGTGTCCCGTGATTCATTGTGTGTGACACTCCTTGAACATGTCTGGAGTCAGTTATGTGATACAGCTGTGAAGGTCAACATGGTACCTTTGTCACCAATAGAGGTTTGGAGATTGACACTTGGGTGTCACAACAAGTTCCTAAGACTCACCCCAGAATTAGGCATTTACCCATGCAGCCCCAGGCTGCCTCGCATGACTGCAGGTCTCCCTTACAACCTGCTAAGAAGCCCAGAAGGAAGGGGCAGGGCAGCTGCCAAAAGGGAGAAGTCAGGGGCGGGGCCACCAAAGACCCTCTCATCTGATTTACTATTTCCAGTGAATTCATGACCTCTGTTCAGATTATACCCCAAGGTTTGCCCTCTTCTCTTTACTACCACTGAAATGTCTGGCAGGACCCTTTCCCCAAATTCTCACAGAGAGCACACATGATTGAACTGGATGGTACTGGGTTTGAGGTTCAGATGTTGCATTAGGTAGGATGCAGCTCGAAAACAAGAAATACACCCCCAGATGAACACAGTGTGGTCTGCGGCAGGTTTTATAGAGCCTGTGGGGTGCGAAAGCCGTTCACAGTTTAAAAAAGTTGAAGACATCAAAGGAAGAATAATGTTTCATGACCACATATGAAAGTTACATGAACTTCAAAGGTCACCGTTTGTCAGGCTTTATGGGAGAGCGCTTGTGGCGGCTTTTGCACTGACAAGGCGGAGTTGAGTAGACTGGAGACATTTTTTTAAAAGATTTTTTATTTATTCATTTCAGAGAGAGAGAGAGAGAGCCCGAGATAGAGAGCATGAGCAGGGGGGAGGGCAGAGGGAGAGGGAGAAGCAGACTCCCCGCTGATCAGGGAGCCTGACCCAGGGCTCGATCCCAGGACCTGAGATCCTGACCTGAGCTGAAGGCAGATGCTTAACTGACTGAGCCACCCAGGCGCCCCGACTATAGACCATTTTTAAGCCTAAATATTCACTATCCGGCACTGCCACTCCCGCTCTAAGAAATTATAGTTCCTTTATTTCCCGACCACTGAGTATTTCCCAGTGGCTGCTTTTCCTAAGGCTCAGCCCCCATCCTGCCCCACCATGGTAGGCCCCCTCCTGCACCTGTTCCCCGGCCTCTTCTCACCTCGGGATCTCTCCCCCACCTCCATCCTCATCATTCTCTCTCGCAGGGGTGGGGTTGGGGGTGGGCATCAGCTCTTATGACCAACTCTGATGAAATCAGGTAGGTTTCTGAATAAAATAAGGAAGATGCCACCGGCTTTTCATAAAACACCTGTCTCCCCTCAACAGCCTGACGGCACAAAGGTGGGACCAGAGGTGGGGCATCCCCACGGCTTCACCCCCCACCGCCTGCCTCCCAGCACGTCCCCAAACACTTCCGGACAGTTAGTTTCTCGTGTACCGTCACAATTTTTAACAAAAGAAAAAAAGAAAAATAGTTTTTCCTTTGGATTTTATTGACCTAAGAGCACTTGAAGAAGACGGACAGTATGTCTGATGTGACGAAGAGCAAAAGAACGTGAAATCATGTAAAAAACAAAGAATCTGACACAGACATGGCGACTCTGAAAAGATAAGTCAGCTGATTGCAGAAATCACTGAAAATGCTCAGTGTCCATGAGTAACACACAAGTTAATTAAAGCGGCAAGAAAAATCAAAATGCATATAATGAGGACAACAGTTACCCCACTGCAAGAAAACATCCCTCTTGTGACTCTGAGCAGCGCCCCGCAGGCCCACTTACTCCTGGGGTCTCTCAGGTGTCGCCTTTGCTTTCCCAGCTGCGCCCGCACCCTGTCCAGGTAGCGCCTGTGCTCTTCCCCGCGGGCACAGCCGCCCCCTCGCCGCAGCCTCTGGGCTTCAAAGAAGAGGTCATTGCTGTGGAAGGCGCCCTCATTCTCCCGCTCCAGCCTCCCCACCACAGCCATCAGCTCGACCAGCTGCGCCTTCTGCTCCTCCCCGGTGGCCATGTTGTTGAAGCCACAGTACCTCCTCCCACACTCCCCCACCAGGCTCCTCAGGCTCTGGTTTTCCGTGTGTGTGACGTAATCGTGCAAGGACTCGCCGTCCAGGTCCTCCTTGTGGGTGAAGAGGACCACCACGTGCTTCATGGCTCCTGCCCCGAAGACCTCCTTCACCCTCCTCACGGCCACCGTGTCCTGGGCAGTGAAGCGCCCCAGCTGGGTCACCAGCAGCAGTACATGGGGCCCCGGGGCAGAGAGCAGGTAGCAGTCCCCGATGTCCTTGTACATCTCTTGGGTCTGAGCCTCTGCCTCAAAGATGGAGGGCGTGTCAACCACCAGGAGTTTCCTTCCGTTCCAGGTCCCTGTCTCGCCCTGGCAGGTTTTGGTCACAGGCTGGGTCCCCAGCCTGGACTCAAACACTGGCTGGCGGAGAATGCTGTTCCCTGTGGCACTCTTCCCAGTGCCCGTCTTGCCCACCAGGACGATCCTCAGTGAGGTGGATGTTGCAAACCAGTTATCTTCCTCTCTGCCTATAAAAACAATTTTTTTGTGTCCCACTAAGTTAGTGATTCTTACGGTTTTCGGGTCTTGGACCTTCATGATACCTCATGAAACTTGTGGACCTCCCTCCCCCAAATCAATCCTATCTAAATACCTACAAAAGTGTGTATACAACTTTCGGATGCCCGTGGATCACAGAAAACCTACGTTAGAAGCTCATGCTTGGACCCACAGCCCAGGGAGGAAGCGCCCTGGGATCTCCAAGCACTTCCTCTAGAGCAGGGAAAACAGGGCTTTTCGGGGAAAAGGACTGTGGTCCCCATGCTTTTCCACAGATGGTGCTTTGGCCAATTTCACGCTACATAAATATAAGTTTAGAAGGAGGCAGGGGACGAGAAGCCACAAGTGAGAAAATATTATCCCCTCTTCTCCACCCCCACATCCCCATCATACCCCCACAGCAGCGCTCAACACATGCATCCGAACCTCAGGGGAAAAGGACAGCTCAGAGGTCAGAGGTGCAGTGACCTCCCACCAAGGACCAGCTGACTGTCCCGGGTCTCTGCTCTTGGGGTGGGCACTTGGATCTTAAAAAGTGAGATGACAGAAGATCGTGAATGTCAAGGACAAAGTCTGGGAGATGTCCCCGGATGGGAGGCTGGTGAAGAGTGAGGAGCATTAGAAGCACAGGGGTTGGAGGGATCTGGCCGACCGAATCGCAGGAGATGTCTACAGAATGGTGTTGGGGAGGGTGACGCTGAGCCGAGAGTACAATCTTCAAGGGGTGAAGGCGGGTGAGAACCCCAGGACTTTTAGAGTTCTTATGAGTTCAAATGAATTAAGTTCATTTCAGCCTCCTAAACTCTCTTAGTTTATTCCTTCTACTCTGTGTTGGTACTTCCTTTCCTTAAGTATTGGTAACAAGGATGATTCCTAAATCTCCACGGGAACTTTTCCTCTTTCCAGTTGGGAGCAGACCAGGAAAGAGAAATTGTTCTCACAGTCGGGTTCCAAATCCTTCAGACTCTGACTTGGGAGTTTCACTTCCACATTTCCCACCAATCACGTGTGGGTGACAGTGGATGGGGTGATGACCACAGGGAAGGTAGAGAGCAAGTGATTTTTGCCTCTTTCTTCCTCACTTTTTTTTAATTTTTATTTTTTAAAGATTTTATTTATTTATTTTAGAGAGAGAGAGAGAGAGAGAAATAGCATGATTATGAGGGGTAGGAGACAGAGAGAGTATGAAGGAGACTCCGTACCGAGCATGGAGCATGACATGGGGCTCGATCCCAGGACCCTGAGATCATCACCCGAGCTGAAACCAAGAGTCAGACGCTCAACCGACTGAGCCACCCAGATGCCCCTCTTCTTCACTTTAAAATAACAGGGTTTCTATCCCTGTGTTTGAGGTGGGGGTCGATGGAGAGAGAACGGCGACTCTCCCGGGTGCCCGGAGCTCCTGAGAACGTCCGGGCTTCCTTACCTTCAGCCATCGTTCCGTATCTGCCCCTCTGAAGCCCTTCCATCGTCTTCTGGAATAGAAAACAGGAAAGGAATAAAAGCAAGTATTCATATAGGAGTTGCTAAGGCCTGAGAACACTTTTAATGCAGACATCTAAGAATAATTATCCTAGGATAAGCCATTTCCATTGCTAGTTTTTGAACTCATATTATACTTTCAAATACCTATGACTAATTTTGGGCAAACCCCAGGCGAAGCTAGCTTATGTTAACGCAATGCACTTGTTGCTTTTGTTTTTGCAACTTACAGGAAATTAGGAAATATTTTAAAACAAATCAGTTGATTCTCTTTCTCCAACTTGAAGTGAAATGAAAAAAACCATTCTTCTGTGGAACCAGGAGCGGGACACTATTATTAGTGTTTGCGATCAAAGTAGGTGAACTCGCTAGAATACAGAGAAAAAACCTGCCTTGCTGTAAATGGCATTGGTTTGTCTGAAGTACTGAGAATTTCCAGTCCCAGAAGCTGTGTCAGATGGACATTCCAGGGGCAAAGAGGAAAGCACAAGGTTCCTTCCAGTGGGAGGGCAGAGTGGGAACAAGGACTCCTTCAGGGACTGACAGCAGAGGAAAGAGTGGTAGAGAGCCGGGCACTGACACCTTCCTTACCCCTTCCAACCCCCACCCCACACACCCATCAGGGAGAAGGTGGTGCCATAACGGAAGGGAAAGAATCAACATTCAGGACAAATTCAAGATAACCTCATCGCCTGCTCAGATTTTAATCCAGCTTCTTTCCTGGTGGGCTCTGGGTCCTCTGAGGTCTCCCAATATCATCATTTTTGTATCCCAGCAGATTTAACCAGAAATCGGCACAACCATTGATTGGCATGAAAGTTTCATTGCAATGAGACAGAATATTGGGTCTTTCTTCTTGGGGTTAGAAAAGGCAAGGGTGCACGAGACACGCAACGGTAATTAAGATGAGCTCTGAGGCTGCATTGCATTTATTCAGTTTTAAAGGTCATGTGGTTGTGAAACCCCCTTATTAAGGGGTGAAGTCCACAAAGTTATACCACAAATGGCCACCGTTTACCATGAACGAATGTAAATAGTTCGGCATCTGCTGCAGCTGCTCTGTTTGACCGAGAAGTGGAAACATTACACATTAAGCTCCATTTACATTTTGCGGCTCCCCAGTGTCAGTCCCCCTCCCTCCTTCCTTCAGAGGGAGCCAATATTCTGAGGATTTTAAGGATCATACTCGTTTGTCTATTTATACTTCTACATACACATGTCTCTAGAGATGGTGTATAGTACTGTGTTCTATTTGCAATTTTTTATGTAAATGATGTTATGTATGTAACGTTTTATCAATTTTTTTAAAGATTTTATTTATTTATTTAGAGAGAGCACGAGTGGGGAGAGGGGCAGAGGGAGAGACTCTCAAGCCGACTCCACACTGAGCGTGGAGCCCTACCTGGGGCTCGATCCCACAACCCTGAGATCAGGCCCCGAGCCGAAATCAAGATCGGACGCTTAATGGACTGAGCCACCCAGGTGCCCCTCAATTATTTATTAGCAAACGTTTAAGCTGTTTCAAACTACCTGCTTGCTTCTACAAACAATGCTGCAGAATAATCCCATCTCTGCCCCCCGGCGCACACGTGCAACAAATTACCTGGGGCAGACAGCTGCCGCCTGACTAGATATTGCCAAGTACGACCCCAGGATGGTTGGGCGAACGCCCACTGGCACCGGCCACAGAGGAGAATTCCCAAACCTGCACTTGAACTTGGTGACGTTAGACTTAATTTTTTGTCACTCTTAAGGGCGTAAGTAAGGACATCTGAATTGGTTTAAACTTGCATTTTACTAATTACCATTGAATGAAAAATGTTTTTCATAGTTTATTTGTTATTCGGGTTGCTTCTGTTATAATGAAATAACTTTTGCTCCTTCTTCCATTCATGCAGTGGATTTTTTTGGCCCTCCTTGGGGGAAACCGTCCACTTCCAGGTTATCAGAATGTACTAAGATAACTTCCTTCCCTGTTTCCTTTCTTCCTTTCCTTCTCCCTCCTTTCCCCTGCTCCCTCCTTTCCTTAAGCCCCGAGAAGAGCATTTTCCTCACCCTTTTCCATGGGCTGTCCTAGCCTCCGGTCAATTATCTGGCTTCTGCTAAAACTGCTCAAATTCTCTGACATCTTTTGTACTTTAGATGGCATTTTCTGAGGTTTGGGAACCTCAGAAAATATGCTGGAATCCATCAATTCATGTGATAAAGACCATGATAGAGGCGAGGATGTTGACAATGGGCTTCATCATTGGAAGCATCCTCTCTGCAGCCATCTGTAACCTTCAGAGTTCTTTCCTGTCCGCGATTCTAATTGTCCTTCTAAATTCCCTGTGATGTGATCAAAATAGGTGTTGAACTGTCAACAATATTTGCATATTAGGAAATTGAACATCAAATGACCTGCCCAAGGTCACCAGATTGCCACACAATTAAGATTAAAAAAAGGGCGGGTGCTCCTTGGCCTGCAAATTCTCCTTGATTCCACAGGGGGTAAAAGAGATTCTTCTAAACAAATCCACTAGCCTCTCGGAACACCACATACAATGTTACCATCCCGCAGTCAGGACATAAACTGATGTTGACAGGCTGGAAGCCTGCCTTAAAATGAACACAGAGAATTGTATGGCAAAACCTCGAGTGCACATTTTTCTTCTTTTTTTTTTTTTGAAAGATTATTCAAAAATAAAATTGCAGGAGGCAGGAGTTGCTCTGAATTGAAGCATTTCAGTTTAAAACAATCTGAGGCTTTGACTTAAGTGAGACCCAAATGGAGTGATGTGGCTGACACAAAATGCCAGTGAACCTCAGGTTACATTAGCTGAGATGCAGCCCAGGTGGTTCTCCTGAGCCACCTTCTGAGTGGTCAGACTGCAGGGGGAGACATACGTTCCCCCTGAGGGATAGATTTTTAGGCAGATATTAACAGATAAGAAAGTGTCCAGGGCCGCCCGGGTGGCTTAGTTGGTTAAGGGTCCGACTCTTGATTTTGGCTCAGGTCATGACCTCAGGGTCGTGCGATGAAGCCCCCTGCCTGACCCGGTACTCAGTGTGGTGTCTGCTTGAGATTCTCTCCCTCATCCTCCCACCCCTGCCTGGATGCATGCTCTCTCTAAAACAAAACAAATAAATGAAATCTTAAAAAAGAACGTGTCCAGAGGTGAGTCCGAAATGATATTGACAGAAAAGCCAAAATGAGTCATAGACAAAATAGTAACAGGATGGTAAAGCATCAGAAAAGACTGGAGGAAGCACGTATAGCTGCAGGAATGCAGTATGTGTCAATCTCAGAGTAGGCAAAAGTGAGAGAACGGGGAATGGAGGCAGATTTCTCCTCCAAAGGAAAATTCTGCCTAATCGCCTCCAAAACGGGACCAGGTGTCAGCAGAGAGTGGCAAGCAGCGAGCAAGCGGAGATGATGACAGCATCGGACAGGGATAGTAGGAGGGTGTAGCTTAGGTAAGAGTTTAAGGCAAAGAAACATAATGTACATTCTGATTTTTAAATTATATGAGCCTGATTTTATTTTTTATTTTATCAAACTTGAGAAAGGAAGCTCTCTAATGCTGTTCTGGGAAGGATAAAAATATTTCTTGTGTGCCTTATTCATAAATATCTCCTTCACTCAAGTGCCCAGTCCCTATATTTCCTGGTATGAGTGTCACTTGTTGGGTACTTTAGTCATTGTGAGGT